GTCCTCATGATTTATTGCACTTTGGGATGTTGTAGCTTATACACTTTTCATAACCAGTTATGATACAATGCAGAAAACCTTTTCTTTTTAGTCATTTAAGCTGTTTTTTGGAGGTGAATGAATATCATTCGACATCCCTTTCATTCGATTGTTACAGTACCCAATTTACATGCTTTTGAACCATTCATTAAACTTGAAATGTTCAGCAACTGTTGTTTTATTAACTCCCAGTGATTCTCCAAGTTTTTCTTGCGTCTGGCATGGATCTTCACAAAGTAATACCTCCTAATCAGATCAGGTTGGACTCCCCGCCAAATTTAAGCATATTAATAAACGGAGGAAAAGAAACTAACAAGGATTCCTCTAGTCGCTGCGAGCGAACAGGGATGAGCCCAGCACTGAATCCCAAAAGCCTCGCCTTAAGGGAAATGTAGTGTTTAGGAATGCCCATTCAACCCGGGGTCCGTGTACCGCGTTCAAGTCCATCTTGAACGGGCCCACGGTCCGAAGAGGGTGCCAGGCCCGTAGATGACCGGTGCCGACCCCAGGTGAGCACCTCCTTAGAGTCGGGCTGCTTGAGGGTGCAGCCCTAAGCGAGTGGTAAACTCCATCTAAGGCTAAATACAACCATGAGACCGATAGAGAACAAGTACTGTGAGGGAAAGTTGAAAAGAACTTTGAAGAGAGAGTTCAAGAGTATGTGAAACCGCTCAGGGGTAAACGGAAAGACTTGAGCCCCGAAAAGAGAGATTCACATCTCCTTGCAGAGTATGCACCCCAGCAGGGGAGATAGCCTTTCGCCCCGTCAGGCTCGTCCATGGCGGTGGGTGGGCCGTACCCCGCAGTTGTGCGCTCCCGCAGGGGACCGCACTTCTCCCTCAGTAGGACATCGCGACCCGCTCTGCTGCGTCCTAAGTTCCGGAAGATTGCCTGGCTCGGGGTCTCCACTTTTGTAATACCTACACAAAGTAATACCTCCTAATCTTCAAACTTTTATAGGACGCCTGGATGGTCGCCATATACGAGATCAAAACTTTTAAAAAGTTGAAATGATTCTCTGCAGAGACCATGATTGCCATAAAGTTGACTGATAGCCTCAATACAAAGGATTAGTTCCTGAATAAAGTTTACTTTAATGTTGTCCGATGTACATTGGTAAACAAAAATGTACTAGATAACAAGGGTCTTGTTTAGATTAGAGCCGCTAGTGATTTTTTAATGATATTTAGTAACAGTTGTTACGAAACTTGATACCATTGATATAGAAATAAAATCACATCTTTAAATATTATTTAATTTAGTATAATTGCCAGTTTGTGTAGTTGTGTAGTTGCAATAAAGTGATAACACGATGAATATTTTTGAAGTTAACTATATATGCAAAGAAGAGGAACGAGCCAGGATTTTCTTTAAAGAAAGAGGAATTCTACCTAAGGAAAGCTTTGTAAAAAAGGCCACATTATGAAATTTTACAAAGGTAGGAAAAGATACAGGTTCAACAAAAGACAATGCCGGTATCAATGTGGCATGTATACGTGACATGGCTATGTGAAAGCAGGTTACCGTTAAATAAAGCCCTTTTATTTATTTACTCAAGGGCATAGGAGTATATGACGTTTAAATTCTGTTCCAAAGAATTCAATATGAGCTCCGCTACAATTGGAGATTGGAAAAATTATCAGCGGGAGGTGTGCACAACTAACAAAAACCCGATTGTTATTGGAGGGAAAGGACTGACAGTTGAGATAGACGAGTTCTGTTTTCCTCGTCGAAAGTATAATGTAGGATGCACCTATCCACAGCAATGGGTATTAAACTAAAGAGTGTTTTTGAAAACACTGCCCGATAGGAGAAGAGAAATCATGGAGGAGTGCATAAGAACATCAATTAGACTGGGTTCAATTATTATGTCTGACCTGTGGAAGTCTTAAAGTAGGATAGAAGGAATGATTGGAAAGGATTACAGGCATTGTACTGTAAATCACTCCCAAAATTTCGTCAGCCAAGAGACTGGTGCTCACACTCAAAGAGTTGAGTCTATGTGGACGAAGGCCAAAAGGAGAAACAAAAAGGAATGTGGAACTCATCAGTCTATGTTAAACTCGTTTTTATGTGGAGGCAGAGAAACTCAAATGAGGACGTTTTTGATAAAAACCTTAAGGACTTAATAGAATTTTGGCCTCCAGAGGTACCTGGAATAACTCATTAAAAGTATGTTAATGTTTTTGGTTATGAATAAAAAGTTCCTATTAAATAAATCATATATTTCCTTAACTCATATTTTTACTTTCCTACCTATACTAGGTAAGGAAAGTACTACAATTGGTTCAAATTTCCGACATGCGGTTTTCGACGGATCTATAAGTTTCAGAGCTCCCTGAGTCTGAAAAACACATTTTTAGCCATTGGTCTGTCTGTGCCAAGATTTTCTCGGAAACTACTGAACCGATTTTGTAGATTCTTTTTTTATTTTGTAGGGTTTTGACTACTGATGCTGAAACCCGGAATGCCGTTTAGCCTGTAGTTTGAAAGGTAATGAAATTCCCTACAAAGCCATATAAAAATCGTTTATTTTGGACAACTATTAACGAAGTTACAGCTATTCAATTTCCAATGTAAGATTACGGTTTCATATCCTGGTTGAATTAGAGAATAAAGATGACTAAGTGATAGTAAGAAAATCTGTTGCCCACATCACACAATCGTCACTATTTCCTCTACTTTTAACAGAAATTATTGTTTGACAATACTAAGCTATGCCAAAAAGTTTTTGATCAGCAATATTAGGAAGTATTGCAATGTTTACACTGATCTACCTTAAGTCGGTTAGCATTGCTTTAGTTTATCAAATAAATCGTACTCAAATCTTATGTTTTATCAATTTTCAGGAAAATATATTCAGTTCAATTCTTTTTTGTTTCTTTATGAACAAACGTAAAGATATAAACACTTTTCTGAAATAGGTAGGAAAGTCGTGTGAGTGGACACACCAGATATTTTAATTGTGGGTAAATGGTTGACTGTCGTGAATAATGAAGAGAAGAATAGTTGGGGTGATCAGTCAAATAAGAAGGCAAAAATAAATGATAATATTTATTTTGACATTTGCCGACGTTTCGACCTGAAGTTCAGGCCTTCATCAGGACTAAGAAAAGAACCAGATAACAAGGTATGAGAAACATAAGTAGTGTAGGTAAAAAAATTAAAGTAAAATGCAGTTGTTAGAATAATGACAATAGTAAGAACTAAGAGATAAATAATAATAACCGGTACAAAGTGAATGAATGAAGTAATGAAGAAGTGAATGAAGTAAACATAATCAAAAAAGATGACATAAGTATTAACATGGGAATCTTAGAATAAAATGTAAAACAGAAAAAAAAAAAAAAGAAATATGAAGTTATATAAGAAATGGAAATAAATAGTAAAATTAAGATATTGCGAATAGAATAGTTAAATAGAAAATTGAGATATTGTAAAGTCTATCAAGATGTACAGACAACGTATAATATAATAAAGAGTTAAAACAGAGAAAAGGAATGAAAGGAAGAAGGTCCCTTCTCTGGCTATCATTCTCATTTCTCTGTTAAGACCTTTTGGAGATAGGTTTGTTTTCTTTTTTCTCTTTCTTATTTCAGCCTTCTCAGTTTCTTTCCTCCTTCCTTTCATTTACTAGTTTTTCAATAGCATTATTTATGCCAACAACATCTTAATCAATAATTTATGAACATATTTGTAAATAAAATCAGAGTAGACAAAAACATTTAGTTTTAAATTAATAAAGAAAGTTCGCTCTTGATCCATCATCTTTTTGTGGATAAGTTGTATTCATTACCTACAATGATAATCATGTTAAGTTAAAAGGTGTTGATTTTCATTAAGCGATAATAAAATTTATAACTGCAGTAATTGAGAACTTTGTTGTAAATTACATTACAAAAAAAAAGAAAAGGTAAGTGTTATATTTGGTGAATAAATATAAAATTCATTATTATAGAATTATAAAATTCATAATTATATTCAATAGAAATGGCTAGGTATGTTAAGAAACAAGAGGAGTCTACTAACAGATGAATGTCATTTTTTATAAACTTAATCCTGCTAAGTTTGTCTATATATTAATATGACGATAAATTGTTTTAAAGATAAACTGAGACAAATAAGAAAAAGGATCTCAATCTCATGGTGTGATTTATTTGAAAGGTAATTCTCGACGAAACAGTTAAAAAAAACATAAAAATATATGTAATATTATCAACATTTATTCAGCACAAATCAGTAAATATAAGATTTACAATGAGAACCAAATGAACTGTGAATAATTATTAGGAAATATGATATGATTGTAAAGTTAAGAAATAAATATAGTTACATTAACTAAGAACAGAAGCGTACCTAAACATGAATATGAAGGAAACAAGATTTCATTGTTTCAACATTAAGGTTAAATAACTTAGTGAGAGAGAAATAAATTATTAAATAATACCGGCACTATTTTAGAAGTCAATTTATTCAGTCATGAGTAACTTTTAACCATAAAAAATAAACACTATATCAATCAACTGATAACAATAACTATCATGGAAGTGGTCTTTTTAAGGATTTTACACTTGAACACTGACAATTTTAAGACGATGAATATCCTCACATAAAGTATAACATATGATGATTGATGTATGCTAGCTAACAATTCAATAAAAACATATGATTATTAATTAAACTAGGATACGTTTGCAAACTTTAATCAATTATAAACAGAAAAATCATAGATTTCTTTAATAACAAATAATCAACCATAAAATAGTAGTTCATTTTCTAAGATGACAAACAGATTATCCTCTTAAAAGATATCATAGGGAAATGAAGAGTGAAGGAAAATTCTACGAAAAAGCTGTGAGATAAGAATATAACAAGATATGGGGGATACAAGACAGATCAATTTCAAATATAATGTAACAAAATAATCCTCAATAAAATAGTATCGAGAAACAATTACTTACTGAATAGATTTATAGAGTTCTCGTATTTTGGTATGTACTTGGGTAAGATGAGGTATGGATTTATTCTTAAGTAAGTCTAGAGCTCTAGCCTGAAGCTCTGTTTTTCGCCCCGTTTTATTTTGGCCAGCATATCCGAGCAGCATTTGTAGTTCTGAGACCCGAAATGTTAATAGCATATTCTAGAAAATAATAAACAACAATGCTATAAATAAGTACAAAAATCTATCCGATATAATTTAAATTTAAAATTTGTCAAGTGTTTATATACAATTCTATAGGCTGTCCACTCCTTCATACTTTAACATGAATATGAGGGCAAACAAGTAAGAAACTGAAATGTAAACAGGAGTACATATTGAGTTTCTGAGATTGATTATGAATGAAGTACTCATTAATAAAATATACGGAATTCAATATTTAATTTAAATTCTAGAAACCCGCCTTTCCTTAACTGATAAATAAAAAAGGACGCCAAAATACAATGTCTTACTTTTAATTCGTCGGTGCCGGACATCCTTTGCCTCCTTCTCGCAGCCAGCTTGGTCGTCGTAAGAAATATGCTTTGTAAGAAGAAAGATCTTCAAACTGGAGGATCTCAGAGTCTTATTAACTACCATATAACTTCAAAAAAGTTGTTCCAGTAAAGAGCTCTTGTACAGGTTAGAAAGCTCAGTGTTGTCCAGAAACTTCCAAACATTCAAAAGCATTTTAATTTAATAATAGGTCAATTACTTGTTTTCTTCATTGCAGGAAATATAGAGGTAAAGTAATTATTTCTATATATAAAAGAAACCATTAGCACGTTATAATAATTTGAAATAGAACATGTATAATAAATTTTAGGTTGTTTAAAGTTAGCCTCAAATATCTACTCGCTTTGTGAAAACATGTGATTTTTTGAGATTTGAATAATTTTAAAAAGAGAAAATTAATTTTTCATTGTATATCAGATTGATTTATCTGAAAGTAGAGCAATTATAATTTTAATTTCTTAAAAATGTTTTTAGTAAAGATCTCTTATGTTGGCTATACTGTATTCAAGATCGTTCACCGTTTCCTTAAGATTTTCTTACGATTATATATAGTTTATTACAGCGATATAATTCCTTAATCTAATATAATGTTTCCATTATATAAAAATGCTTTTCTATAATTTCACTAGACTTATTCCGCAATGAAGATTTATTAAGTTGCATTTAATAGCCTAACCTTACTATTTAAGTTTTCTTTTAATTTCATTTTTAATTATTATACAAAATAAAATAATATTATCAATTTTAACTTTACCGTTTTAACCAATAATATCGTTTTAAGCAATATGATATAAAATATTGATTTACTTACATAAGCGCCCACCAATGATCAGCTGGTGACCGCACCCTTCTTTTAATACAAAAACAATTGTATTTAAAATCTGGTGCGGTGCGAGCATCACGCAACTTTCACTTACCGCTCTCATCTTATCAGAAATAAGTAAAATTTATTGAGGCTATATTTATTTATAATTCATTATGTATTTTTATTTGTACAAGTACCCTTTTAATATTTATATACCAATTTTAATATTTATATACCAATTTTAATATTTATATCACTGTAATCTATACAATTCAATATTAAATATTACCAACAATAGCATTTATGAAAACCGCTTACATAATATTGTCGGAGTCCGTATTATATTAAGCTCATGTTTCATATGTAAGCCTGTGTTAATCTTTCGGGCGAGCTTGGGCGCGCTCATATTCCTTTGGTTTCTCAATTACAACTATTCTCCGTTACGATCTCTTATTTCTTCTTTGGTTAATTATCAAATTATTTCATATTTAACTATCTTTTATAATAGAGATCAATGTGAAATGGTTAATTGTTTCAAATAAAAAAAAAATTAAAGGTACATTAGGGGAAGCTAATATTGAAAATTAGCCATTTAAGCCCTGTTAGAGAACATCAATCAGAATAAAACTTACATTTTATTTAAAACTGGTTAATTTCACACAGATGTAATGAATTAATCAAAATAGTTAGAGCCATTTTCGAGAAAATCGTAAAAATTTGTTAAGTCCATGATATTAAGTGCCACTTCCGATTAGCCGATTTTGACGAAAAAGTTGCTGTAACATCCCAAGTATACAAAAATCTTAAATATGCGATTTCATTTTCGTACGACTTTTCGTTTTTGAGCTAGACTGTTAACACACACTACCATGTGTGTGTTACCCCTAATCAAAATTACCCAAGACATTCATACAGCCATGGACCAGCAGAAACTCACCATCCTAATTCTCCTTGACTTCTCCAAAGCCTTCGACTCAGTAGACCATAAAATCCTCCTAACCAAGCTTAAAAATATCTCCTTTTCAACTAGTACTCTTCATTGGTTCCAATCCTTCCTTACCGGCCACTCCCAATATGTTATAGTCCCCAATAACCTCCCATCAGAATCGTTACCCTTGTACAAGGCTCCTCCTTATCTCCCACCCTTTTTTCCATCTACATCAATGACCTTCCATCCTATATCCTGTACTGTCGATTCCATCTGTATGCCAACGACGTCCAGATTTACCTCTCCTTCAATCCGATCGAATCCTCTGACGCCGTCCAAAAATTACAGAAAGATATAGACGGAATTTGTGCCTGGGCAAACCACAATAGAATCACTCTAAACTCCGAGAAAAAGAAAGCTATCCTGATCGGAACTCCCTCACTCCTCAAATCCTTACCGACACTCCCCAATCTTTTCCTGAACAATTCACTTATCTCATTCCATACTACCGTAAAAAACCTTGGTGTTACCTTTGATCAAACTCTCTCCTGGAAACCACACATCTCCCAAATTTCCCGTCGTACTATCTCTACCCTGAAACAGTTTAACTGTCTCCGCTATCTCCTTCCATATGAATCCCGACAACTCCTGGTTTCCTCCCTTGTGTTCCCCCACTTCGACTATGGCTGTCTGGTGTACAGCGGACTTTCGGGAGAATTCGAGGCCAGACTTAAACGCCTGATGAACTGCGCAATACGTTTTGTTTTCGGAATCTCAAGAGATACGCATATAACCCAGTATTACACCAAGTTGAAGTGGCTCTATCCGTCTAACCGCCGCCTATACTTCCTTGCTACCTTTCTATACCAAGCCATCAGAACTCAGCGACCTTCCTATATTTTTCACAGCCTACAATTTAAATATTCCATTCAATCCCGTCCTACTAGATCCCGTACTTCTGACCTCTATCCACCTCCTCACTTTTTCCTCCTTTTACAAATCCTTTATAATTCAATACCATCCCTCCCGATATCCGACATGCGCAATCAGTTTCCTCATTTAAATCCCTCCTTTTTAAGCACCTACTTCTTTCCCAACCCGATTGATCATGAAAAGTAGATAAGAGAACTTTGTAAGTTTCCCCAGAAATGGTTTTGTTTAATTATGTTATTTTATTTTCACATGTTTGTATTGTATATATCTGTATGTATTTAGTGGTTTTGTTTTATTTTTCATCCAATATTTTTATTTTAATGAGCATTGTAAATATTTAATTTAATTTTATGGCCACACAGGCATTTCCTCTGTATCTATAATTTGTCCTAAAGGGACAAAAGTCCCAGGATAATAAAAATCTATTTTTATTTCATTTTCATTTCATTACCATGCACACACATACCGACCACCTTGATTATTTGGACTCAGGGAGCCTCAAAACATGTATTTCCGTTAAAACCTCAGATTCGAAAATTTTCACGATCGCAATACTTTCCCTTGCATACCTACGTATATATATATATATATATATATATATATATATACTTTCATATATACATATCTACGTACGTGAAAGTAATAAGATATATAAATGAGAGAATATGTAAACTAAAATCGAATAAAAAAATTCGACTAGTAAGTAGCTGGCTGTAGGGAGAGGGGGCAGTACCTACTGTCCACTTTCCACCAAACTCGTGGGACCAAAATACAGGAACCAAATAAACAAAAAACCAACAAATTCGCCAAACATTTTCTTCCTCGGAAGATTCTTCTTTCACGGAACCCAAATACCTTTCCAGGTGCTTTTTTAGACATCACCATCGATGAGACATCAATGGGAGACACTTTTAGATCTCTCACGGCCGAAAGGTATATATATATATATATATATATATATATATATATATATATATATATATATATATATATATATCGAAAAAAAAATAAAGAAACTTACTACCTATATAATATGGTGTTTAAGTAATTCTTGTAGCTCTATTAAATGTAATTACACGAACAATAACACTTTAAGAGATAGTTTTTTATATATTTTTTTTAGTTATAAAACATGGTAATATTTTACCATTTTGGAGGAGGGGCTTTAGCCCGGAAGCCTCCTCCCCCCCCCCCGTAGATTCGCCTGTGTTCATGGCTGAAGTCGAGGTACTTCAAGTTTGTTACAAAGGAAAGGAGATCAGTAGAGTGACCAAACCGAGGTTGGAGCTGTTGCCCTACCTCCACAAAACCTTCAAGAAACGGGTCTATCAGCAGACACGACTGAATCAAATGTTCAGGTGGTAGGCGGAGGACTAGCTCCGAAATAAGCAGTCCCTGCCACACTGAAACTATCAAAAACAATGAGAAGACGGCGAAGGAGGAATAGAGTTGTCGCCAGAATCATTCTAAAGGCACATCCAGAATCGGAGCCTACAATAGGGCACTCGGCTAAGTATGCAAGGGTCGTCCCAGACCCTGCAAGCAGAACCGAGGAGTCCAATGTGTTGGCCACTGATTCGAGCTCAAAAGTTAAAATCAAGGAACCTAGTGGTGGGCCGAAAGCTAAGGGTGCGAGTGCCAAACAATACCTGGCTTCCAAGGCCGAACTTCCCGCTGCAAACGTTCCTAGGAGATACTTTACCCAAATGGTGTCGCCCTCTGGGCCACCAGGTAAAGACGTAGGGATCTCTCTAGACCCGACGCCCAATGCCGCGGAGGTTCCTGGGCTAGCTTCAAAGAAGGAGAAAAGGCAAATAAATTCTCTGGGCACCACGGCACCTAGTGAAAAGAAGCCCAGAGAGGCAGTTAGTACGAGTTATGCCTGAGCTTCAAGAGGTCAGCTAATTGCGGCGGTTCCTACAAATTATCCGCTAGCAATAATGGACCGTGATCAAGTAGAGGTACAGAAAAAAAACTAATCGCCGATAAGGTGGAAGATCTTGATGAAAATAGAGAATACCATCCACTTTTTGATGGCGTAAGATACAAAATGGGAGGAGGTATTCTCTCATGTATGATTGATGAATCGTGCACATGGCTGGCGAAGATAATACCGAGCATCAACGTAGCAGAGGTTATTACCCTTCGTACGGATGATGCTCAGGAAATCACAAGAACCTCCAAGATAGGTGCCTTCTTTCCAGGGAGAGTTCTTACTGAGGAGGTTTTAATGAAAAGACTCAGAATAGATGGTGTCAATGAGTGGTATCTCCATTACTTACAGAAATGGATAAAGGGTTCTTTGCTATTTTCAGAATCTCGGACTCAAGCTTAGAAAGCCTTAAAAAAACATGACATAAAGGCTGACTGCGGCTGGTGTTGTAGCACCTTTAAGGTCTTAAAAGAACAGCTCTTGGAAGGAATCGAAGTTAAAGCTCCTAATTACGGTGGCTCAGAGGACCTGCCGGGCATTAGACGCCTTACTAATTGGAAAGGAGCCAGCCACAGTGCGGCAAAGGGAGACAGGGTGAAAAAATAGGGGAGCGGAAGCTCTTCCTCCTGGAGAATCTCAGCCACCTTCGGTAACTGTGAAACTTTTAGCTTCTGAAAGAATAAGCATGGTAAAGGGAGCGAAGTCTTTTTTTTTTTATCCCCCTTCCTGGCCATTTCTGGCATACGGGGTTCGGT